TATCTATCTATCTATCTATCTATCTATCTATCTATCAATATATTATCACACATACAAAACCTTATCACGAATGACCCACCGATTGAATTTTTTATTCTCCTGGAGCCCGCATTAACAATTTGCAACAGTAGATTGCTCATGTCATTCTTGCAGGCCTCTGTTAGCACAGAACAGAGATTAGAATAGAAGGGAAATAATACTTTCTTTTTTCAGTCCCTTTGAGCCTGAAAAGGAGTTTAAAGTAAACAATTCATGTAAGTTTTCACAAATTATACGCAGTACAAACAGTATGATACATAGACATATCTGTTACAATTTATTCTTTTTATAAGTTTCTGCTGAAATTAACTAGGGAATGCTTGACAGGTTGTCAGAGAATTGATTTAGAGAAAATTTAATAATTTTCAAGAAATTTTTTTTCATACAAAAAGATGTTCCAAGGCCAAAAGGTTATATAGCACAAATGTGTGAAGTACATCTGCAGTATGGAAACAGTACAACAAAAACACTTTTTCCGACTAAATTCCACTCTTTCCTTATCTATTCTCTTTGATGCTAGTACAGAGAAAGGAGTTGACCTTTGGAACCCTATACTGATAGTAGAAAATCCTAACTTGGCAAAAACATTTTGAAGCATTTTGCATTAAAAGTAGGCGTGTAAAACTGTGTTAGATATTCCTAACAAAACGTTTGTCATTTCAAAATTCTTTCAGTAAAGTTTGATTTTACGAACAAATGTTCGAATTTTTTTAATTAAGAAGCCATTTTTACCCATTAGATATAAATGTTTTATATTTTCAATTTTATATCTTTTTTGGAGGCTATGTTTTCTGAATATCTCTGTTTTGCCGCTATTTTTGACAGATTTTGAATGAGAGATCAAAATAATACTAAAACTATTTTAATACAAATGTACAGAATGCACTGTATTATGCATATATAGGAACCTTTAAAGGGAGTGTTCACGAAAATTGAGAAGGGGTATAGGCTGACATCGAAAGGACATGTAATAACTAGAATCTACAGTGGACTGTGCTATATTCCCACAAAAGGTTTTTGACTGCCATCTAGCAGCCTCATATTTCATAAAATCCCCAATCAGGGGTAAAGTTTGAGAATTTTAAAGAAATACTCAAACCATTTTTTTACACTTAAAATTTAGGAATTTAGTCCAATTTTGAAAGTTTTGTATTTCATGTCTCTGTATTCTCTTATCTCTGCTCTTAATAAAAATATGAAATCATAACAATGCATTTAGGATCGAGTGATATATTATTTGCACAGAAAATGACTGTACTGATTAGTTAGAGCAACTTAATGTTTTATGCATAACAAACATAATTTATGCATCATTTGTTAACATTTTTATCACAACCGAACTTGATAGAATTATGATTAATTAGTTTTATGCAAATAAAACATTTTAATTAAGAACAAGTGATCATCTTTAAAGGGACTAAAGGCATAATTTCAAATGACCCTCTATTTAATAAAAAGAGTGGCATGTGTAACTCACAACAACACCCTTCAAACCTTGGTTTGGATAAATGAGAGTTCCTTAAAGCTGTAGGAACTGTTAAGATATCTTTATATTGGTTGACCCATCAATAATCTCTGACCCATCAATAATCTCTGACCCATCAATAATCTCTGATTTATCAGTAATCTCTGAATAAAAATAGAGCTGAGCAAGTTAGTACTCTTTCTATCCCCTTGTTAAAGGGAACTGTAGTGTTTAGAGGTAACTTTAAATAAAAAGTGGCATGGTCAGATTTTGAAATGGTTACCCAGAAAGTGTGGACAAAAGCCTAAGCTTGAGAGGGTTGACCCTTAATTCCTTAATGTGAAGACTTCAAAGACTTTAATGCCTAAGGAGGGGGGG